GTGGTATGGCTTAGCAATTCTGAAACAACCTACTGTGCATTGCAGTATTGAACAAATGAGCAAATATATTGAGAATAAGGGATCCAGAATTCCCTACTGTTTTCAAGTATGGGGATAGAGCAGAGTGGCAGGAACATTAGAATTAACCCTGTGATATGGACACTATCAAAGTGAACTCATGATTCTAGTATAGAAGGCAGGCAGGCAGGAAGGGAGATGGGAAGGGAAACACAGGGAGGAAGTCTGAAAGACAAATAGCTGCACTTATATTCCTGTTTCATAGCTGTGTCCCCTGAAAGAGTCATGACGCAAATATATACCATTGAAATGAATACACCTACAATTTTCATTTTGATTTTTAAATACCATTAACCACCCCAAAAAGAAAGAAAAGGTCCCTTTTGGAGAACTACATGACCATCCTGGAATATCTTGCACCAGCAAAGAAGTGCTCAAAAATGATGAAGACACATACCAAAAAAATAAAAATCACTGGGACTAGTTTGATGGGATCACCAATGAATGAATCTGGGAATTTTAACATTAAAAATTTTAAGTGACCATAACCTGACATAAGCAAGTAAGTGGGCAGAAGAAGGGAGGTACTTCCTTACTATCGAATATCAACTAATCAACATGGAAGGAATTATGGAATTTAAAAAAAATCATTGTTTGGTAATCTTAGTAATAAATGATTCAGTTGAGAATCACCAATGGCTGCTGAAATAGTAGGAAGAAGTTTAAGGGGAAGTGAATATTTTCACATAGTCTGAAAATATCCTTTCACAAATTATCTTTTAAAAGGGAGTACTGTAACTTTACAGTGGATTAATTTACTGAACATAACCTCTTGAAATAACCAAAGTTGATATTACCAATAATTGATGAAATATCATAAATCTCCCAATCTGATATCCAAAGAATTGCTACCTAAAGTATATAAACTGAATCTATCATGAGGAAAGAGCAAACAAACACAAATTGAGGGATAGTCTAATAAAATAATAGGCCTATAATTATTCAAAACTACCAACATCATAAAAGAAATACCGAGGAGTTTCTTCAGATTTAAGGATAGAAGACTATGCTAAAAGCAAAAACAAAACAGAAAAAACAAACTTTTATTAAAAAAATTAACAAAATTTGAATATGAATAGTAGATTAGATAACAGTATTGCATCAATATTAAATTTCCTGATTTTAAGTAACGCATTAGAGTTATGTAACAGAAAATCATTATCCTTAGGAAATGCACAGTAGTATTTTTGGTTAAAGTGCATTAGAAATTAGCCTCAAATGTTTCAGAAAAAAGTATGGGTAGAAAGAGGGTGAGATATGCAGGAGTTACTTGCATAATTCTTATAATCTTTCTTTAAACACAAAATGAAAAGCTTTTTCTAAAAAAATACATCTTTCAACTATTTACAACAAAATTGCATGCACAAAAAAAGACAATGACCCTTGAATGACAAATAGAAGACTAGTTTATGCATTAAGAGCTACTAGAATGCAAAAAGAAGTAGGAAAAACTAAGCTGTGTTTGGAGTCCTGCTAGGACAGTACAACCCATAAAAGGGAGAAGCAGCTGCTATACAGAACCTCTCTGCTGTTTTTAATTCAGGGGCATACACCCACTTTGGACACTTTAAAACATGGGGACTATAATGGAGAAGGGTACATACAGTGGGTGTGTAGGACACAGGTGCCCCTCGGTGAACTACAGGAGTACTAATACAGAGCAGGGATGGGCAACTTGAGCCTGTGATTCTCACACAAGAACCAGAAATGGGGGTGGTGTGGGATACCCAGATTGGATCACCTACATCCCCTCTTAGAGACTGTTATTCCAAGCTGTGCCACTGATATATGAAACACTTGTCCTACCTCTCTCCAAAGCCAAGACAGCATTAACCAGAATTTGAAACACCCAGAATTTAAGAACTGGAGTGACTGCCCAGGGGTAACTGCTCCATATTTGAAAGACAAAGAGAGTAATTCCTAGGTTTTGATCTTGTCTTCATTATAATCCCCCTACCCAGTACTCTTTCTGGCTATAATCCCATGAAATTAGAAAACCACTATTTTTAAAAAGGGAAAATATGAAAAACATGGAGACCATAAAACACTCTGCTTAACACCTATTGGGTTAAAGAACAAAGTAAAGTAGAATTCAAAAAATATCTCAAGACTAATAAAAACAAGGAAACAAGCTCTCAGAATTTAAGGGATGACGTAAAAATGATCTTTTAAGCGGAAAGATAATTCCAATATAGGCCATATTAAAAAGCAAGAAAAATTCCACATAAAAAACTTAGCACTGCACTTAAGACACTTTGAAGGAAAAAAAAGTAGTAAACAAGACCTATAGCTAGTAGAAGGATGGAAGGATGGAAATAATAAAAACAAGGGGAAAAAATGAAATAAAAAATCAAAATACCATAAAAAAGAAGAGAGAAAGCATCAATAAAGGAATTAGAAACAAAAGAGAAGACATTACCACAAATAGCACAGAAAAAGCATCATAAAAAATTACTATGAATAACTATATAACAATAAATTCAGTAACTTTGAAGAAATGGAAAAGTTTCTAGAATATAGTTTACCAAGACTAAACCAAATAGAGTGTTAGGGAATCAATCACAGTCATATAAATTGAAACAATAATCAAAAATCTCCCCCCCCAAAGCAAAAGCCCAAGGCTAGCTATAAAAACAAATCCTATTTTTTTCATTCTTTTCAAATTCCAAGAAGAGGTAATGTTCCCTAACATATTTTATGATGGCAACATTACCCTGACACCCAAACCAAAGAGAGCACAAGAAAAGGACCTACTGACCAATATCCCTGATGAATACTGATGAAAAATCTTCAACAAAATACTAGCATTTCAAATTCAACGATACTCTAAAAGGCCTATTATGTCATGATCAAGTGGGATATATCCCAGGGATGTGAGAGTGACTTAATATATGTTAATCAACCAATTTAATACATTATATCAATAAAATAAAATATAAAAATCACATAATGCCAACAAATGCAAAGAAAGCATTTGTCTAGATTCAACATCTATTTATGACAACTCTTAATGAGATGGAAACAAAGGAACTTACCTCAACATAATATAGATTTATTATAAACTTATAATACTTAATGGTGAAAAACTGAAAGCCTTCCCTTGAAGATCAGGAACAAGGCAAGTATGCTCACTGTCACCAAATCTGTTTAATTTGCTATTAGAACTTTTAGTTAGAGCAATCAACAATATCAGGATGTAAAAGAAATCCACCTTGGAAAGAAGTGAAACTATTACTGTCTACAGATAACATAAAACTACATGTAGAACAACCTCATGACGTCACCAAAAAAAAAAGTTGTAAGAATTTCGTTAGTGGACACAAAATATAGCAGGTTACAAAATCAAAATACAAAAATCTGCAATTTTTATATACAAGTGAGGGAGAAGAAAAAGAAATTAAAAAAATAATTCCATTCACAATCACATCAAAAAGAATCAAATACCTGGAAACTAATCTAACCAAGGAAGTAAAGGACTTCACACAATGAAAAACCATTAAGACTCTACTAAAGGATAAGGAATAAGACATAAAGAGATGGAAAGATCATCTACACTCATGAATGAGAAGAATCTATATAATCAAAACTACTGTCCTACCAAAAGCTGTATGTAGATTCAATGCAATCTCCACTAAAATGCAATTGGTACACTTTTAGAAAATAGAACAAAATATACTTATACTAATATAGAGGTACAAAAGGCTAAAGCAATCCAAGCAATCCTGAGAAAAAGGGACAAAAATGGAAGTACCATCTTTCCTGACTATACTAGAAAGCAAAATCAATTAAATAATATTGTATTGGAATAAAAATAGACACAGGATCGATGTAACAGAACTGAATGCCCCAGAAATAAACATATACTAATATTAATATATTAATATTAAATTAATGGCAAAAGAGCCATGACCATACAATGGAAAAAGGAGTCTCTTCAACAAATTGTGGTAGGAAAATTGGACATAACATAAAACATAAAATGGAATGCAATTGGATCACTCTAACTCCATACAAAAAAAAAAATCAAAATGGATTAAAGACTTAGATGTAAAATCTGCAACAATAAAATACAAAGAAGAAAAAACATTGGTGATTGTCCTATGACATCAAAAATAAAGATATTTTTGGAGACTTAACCCCTATTGCAAAGGAAATAAAAGCAATATTTAACTGGGATTACCTCAAATTAAAAAGTCTTTACACAGTGGGAAAAAAAATGTAAGTAGATTAAAACACATCCTACTAAATGGAAGAAAATACTCAGACATTATGTAACAGATAAAGGGTTAGAAAGCAAACTTATGACTCAGCAATCCCCCTTTGGACATGGTACTCTAGCTCAAGAAATTTTATGGCCTACAGTGTTCCTGGCAACATTATTTACAATAGTTAGAATGTGGAAACAAATTAAATACCCATTGATAGAGGGTAAAATGCACTATAGCAACACACTGGATATACTGTATATAAGGAGAAAACAATCCTTTCAGGTAACTTATTCAAAACAATTACAAAAACCTTTTTACTCACCAATAATAAAGTTATGGTCAAATCAAATAAATTTCCAGTGTTTACAAGAAATTAACATGCACTACAAAATAAAGGCTATATTTAACAGGTACTAAATAATATGTGTTATACCCATGTTTTTTTGCTATGGTTATGTTATAAAGGTAAATTTGAAGAATGACAAACCAAAACTTAACAACTAGTGAGAGAAAAGAAAAAACAGAGATATACATTCATTATTAATCTTTCATGACAAGTTTTATAATCACAAACCAAGTGATTACATCGAAAATGAATAAAACGTTTGGATGAAGGTATGCTGATCCACTAATATCAATTTTGTAAAATAATGAAGAGTAAGTCAAACTAGCATGTTTTTAAATTTAATCAAGTACATATATTTTAAAACTCACCATCAGAACTTGTGAGGACGAAGCTTTCTGCTTGAGTCTGTTTCTTTTTGCCTAAACTTTTTGGAAACCAGTGAAGATCTATTGGGTAAATATCATCAGGAAGTTTTACTATTTGACTTGTTTCACTGGTTAACAGGTTCCACTTCACTATCTGGTGATCATCACTACATGAATACAGTTCTTCAGCAGTAGTCCAGCCCACACAGCTTACTAATTCTTGATGTGACATTATGTTAAGGAGATCTAAGATATAAAAGTCTTATACCTTAATAAATAAGATGATTTCCAGATGTAGCTTATGAGGAAATAAAATAGGGTAAAACATTCCAAGTTTCCAAATGTATTTTTCATTTTCATTTTTTCCATATGAAGGAAAATAAGTGTCAAAAACAGATGTAAAAATAGAAAGCAAAATAAAAGACCCAGATGCCAAAAGAAAGAAAAACAAGATTTCACAATGAGTTTTTAAATTTTATGTTAAAAAATATTCCATAAACAAGTCCAAATGATAAAAAGACACACAGTAGATTAAAATATATAAAAGGATCTACACTAAACTGATGGAGAGAAAAGCAAATTATGTCCCTATCTATTTCATGTATCTGTATCATTTAAATTAGAATAAATATGTATTATTTTGATAAGTTAAAAGAAGTAGGTTATAAGAAAACTGAAATCTAACAGTAAAATATATGCTTAAATTAACATTATAACAACAACTTATGTAAGAAAAAAAGTACTACTTGAAACAAAACTCTTACCAAACACTTTGACATTAAATTCAGGAAATAATTACAACATAGTGCATCTACAAGGTACAGAATGCTGTATATGATCTGAACCTAAAATTCTTTTACTCAAATTTTTGCCCTCTGATTTATCAGAGGATTTCAATAAAGAGAAAGAGGAGCCAAGCAGCCCCTACTTCCTCCACCAAAATTGTTATTTACAATGAACGTTTCTCTTGCTCATATCTAGATTTCTTTATTACTTGATCATTCTTAGTTGGGTTGTTTGTTCTCTTTTATTATGGTATAATCCTTTTACTTCCTCCTTTGCTCACCAAAGTATTTTATTGGCTTATCTGAGTAACCAATAAACTCTTTCCAAGGAAAACAAGACAATGTGCCATAATTTTTCTGGGATGTAATAAGATTTTTTTTTAACCCGTGGTGGTGCAGGAGTTAAAGCACTATCAAGTTACAGCCAACCAGCAGGAATTCAATCCCCCCGGCCAGGGAGCTAAGCTGAGCCCCATGCACAGCAGACCTCTCCTGTCTCACCCACTGCCCCCCCCAGTATACTTCAGTAGATCCACCTGTTCTGCTCCCCATTCTGTCTCTGGTGAATCTACTCACACCTCTGGCCTATATCCCTTTAAAATAAAAAAAAAAAAAAAACACTTCAAAATATGATAGACTATGCAAACAACTTAAAAAATATATAGGAATATCTTAAGAGTTTGCACAAGTAGAAAGTAAAGTGATATTGGAATATTCAGAACTCATCTTATCCCAGACATCCAATAACATCTGAAGCTGACAATGTTAAGAGCTATTGGTCTAAGTAATTGAGAATGAAGATTGAGGATCCAATCACATCATCCAGATACATAAATGAGAATTCTTTCAAATAAAATATAGGGTCGTGTGTTAGAGAAAATATTTGTAATTGCCATGTGCCCATGTGAAATAATAAAAGTTTGGGGCCTTCCAGTGGTGCAAGGGGTTAAGTCTCAGCACTATGAAGCAATCTGCTGCCACAGCAGTACAAGTTCGATCCCCAGGCAGGGAGCTAACCCATATGGTACAGCAGACCTCTCCTGTCTTACCCACTGCTCCCCTCAGCAGTATATTTCAGTGGATCTGCCTGTTCTGCTTCCCACTCTGTTTCTGGTGAATCCTCTTAGCCCCCTCCCAGTTCTATGTAAAAACAAATATGTTTTCAAACAATAAATCAAGGTCCAACTATTCAAATTTCCCCAATTTGCCCTCCACTTTATCCCGAGTATGAGAAATAGGGTAGAATGAAAACACACCAAGTCACACTAGCAAAAATTTTGGTTAAAAAAAGTTCCTCTTGTCCCTCCCTGTTGGAGCAGTGGGTTAAAGCACATCACAAAGAAGCTTAAACCAGTTCCGCATGAGTTCGATCCCCGCCTGCCCCGGAGGAGATCCACATGGCGAGACAAACCTCTCCTGACCCGCCCGCTGCTCCCCTCAGCAGTGTACTTCGTTGATCTATCTGTTCTGCTCCCCATTCTGTTCCTGGTGAATCCTCTCACCTTCCGCATCTCTGGCCTGTACCTCAGTTCTATATGAATAAATAAATAAATCTTTAAAAAAAAAAAGTTGCTCTTTGGGCCCTCCCTGGTGGCACAGCGGGTTAAAGCACAGCACTGAAAAACTAAAGCCACTTCAGCATGAGTTCGATCCCCGCCTGGGAGCTGACCCACATGGTGCAGCAGAACTCTTCTGTCTCACCCACTGCTGCCCTCAGCAGTGTACTTTGTCGATCTGCCTGTTCTGCTCCCCACTCTGCCTCTGGTGAATCCTTTCACCACCCCTGCACCACTGGCCTGTACCCCAGCTCTGTATGCATAAATAAATAAATCTATTTTTTTTTAAAAAAAGTTCCTCTTTAAGAACCCACTAGACTGTACTTACATAGAACAAGAAAAATATCAGTAACAATTGGAACAAAATTTAAGCTTTGAAGAATTACCTGTAACATTATCTCAAATTCTCAAAATCGATATAGCTAAACTACCGTTAAAGGCATGAGGAAACCCAATTCGCCAACTAGCATACAAAATAAAACTTTTAACAAGACTACAATAAGATGATCACAGTAAGACTTGCATTAAAAGGATATGCTTCGGTTCTTTTAAAAGAGATATCTTCAGCCTCATGTCTCCACCTTTCAGCAAATTTTTCAAATGCTGATTGATTACATTCACTGTAAAAATAAAAGGGGAAAATATAAAATAAAATATACATTAAAAAGAAACACATGTACACAAAAAAAAATGGAAGCAAAGAACACTGCAACTTCAGTCCCGCTGACATCAAATAAATAGAAAAATGAAGAAAATTAGTCAATGTGCAAGGGATAAATGAAGTCTTGCCTTGAACTTCAGAGGTACTCTGAAACTTGCCTAAAACATTCAAATGCAGAACACCATTAAATCTGGCTAGGTAAATAATTTCCAAAGGGTGTTCTGAGGCCCAATTATAAGAATCTATAAACTGGGAGCCCCTCAGTGACAGGTCATTGTTGGTCCTAACAATAGAATAAACATTAGAAAAAATTCCCAAATTCTGATTCAGGGTTCAGATAAATTTTTAATGCCTTTAACTAGGGAACCTGAAAGGGAATGTGATTACATCAACCTAGAGATCTAATCTGATATTATATTCTTTTGTGGGTAAATGAGCAACATAAATGTTTGCCAAGTGGTAATATGAAAAAAAACAAGTGAATTATTCAAGAAAGAGGTAACAAATCCCTTACAAAGCTATATTTAAAAAAACATGTTATTATACCAGAGACATTTTGCGGGGGTGGAGTGGGGAATGGGATCAAAAACGGGGGAGGGGAGCGGGGGGGTTGGAGAGGGAAGTGCACGGGGTTATGGTGATGGCACATGATGATTTGGTGATGGGAAACCCTAGGGGATTACAATTGAGATGGGAAAAAAAAATGTACAAAATGATGTAAAAATAAACTGTTGTAAAATAAGAAAAAAACATGTTATACAAAGCAAACTGTAAAATGAATAGTGATATATATATATGTTTAAAATCACAATGTAATAGACAAGTAGAAATTTGAAAAAGAATCACTTTTTAATCAAGTCATCAAAAAACATAAATCAAGAAAATGCTCAATTGTTTGAATTCCATTTATAATTTACAGGACTAAGTATTATTTCTAACCTAAGAACAAAAAAGATTAAAAGAAACTGTAACTAAAGAAAAACAAAAAAACTTCACCAAGTAGAATGTTTTTTGCTATGAATACTCAGTAGGCCTCCTTTAGATAATTGCCCATTCCTGGAATCTACAAAGAATTTTCATTTGTTCTTAAAATGTGTTGGCCTGATGGGAGTAGGAAGTGATCTGCTCAAAGGCAGTGGTCTTTGGGAGGCACAAGGGTTAGGGGAAGAGATAAATAGAAGGGTAATTTCTGGAGTGTAGATATCTTGCTCTATTTTGCCACTTTATATAAAAAGCCAGGGGAAATTACTTTGCTATTAAAAATAATTTACAAATTGTCTTGAGTTAGTGTGGGAAGACTGACAGCCCAACTATCCAAATATCCTCCAAATCTGATCACTTTTCAGCAACTTCTTCATAGTCCAAATCTATTATCACCCCTTACCTGCCTTAATGCAGTATCCAAGGAACTGTTCTTCCTGGTCCTACACTTAAACCTTCCAACTCTACTACATACAACAGCCAATAATCCTTTAAAGGTTGAGCAGATCATGAAGGCCAGTATGGCTAAAACAGTGAGTGAAGAAAGAGACTTGAAATTGGGAACTAAGGGCCCTCCTGGTGATGCAACGGGTTAAAGTACAGCACTGGAAAGCTAGATAAGTCGCTTCAATGAGAGTTCGATCCCTGGCAGGCAGCTGACCCACATGGTGCAGCAGACCTCTCCTGTCTTGCCCGCTGCTCCCCTCAACAGTGTACTTCATCCATCTGCCTGTTCTGCTCCCTGGTAAAACCTCTCACCACCCCTGCACCTCTAGCCTGTACCCCAGTTCTATATGCCTAAATAAATAGATCTTTAAAAAAAAAAAGAAAGAAATTGGGAACTAAGGATTCACAAAGTGGCTTGGAAATTATAATAAAAGCTTCAGATTCTTCTAAAATCAACCAAGAAGTCAGTAAATGGTTATAAGCAAAAGAATATGGTCTGACTTACATTTTTAAAAGGTTAGTGTGGATAGTCTGGAAAAAAACAAACAAACAAACAGGTGTCAGGGTGGAGAATAAACAAACTGAAAAAGGTAATACTCATCCTGCCACACCATCACGGTCATGGAACAAGACAGAAAGAAGCAAGATTCTTGACTTGTTGGAGAGTGATATAAAGCCTGAACCATCTCATCTACATATACTTTTAAGTGATAGAGAACGTAGTTTTATCATGTTAAATTATTGTCATCAGCAATTTAACCTAATAATGAATTAGGAAATTAAGAGTCCTGTACATAGAATATAAGGTAAACAGGGATACAAAAGATATGATGGGAAATTCCCAATGGTTTCATAATAAAGGGAGTTAATCCATTTAAATTGTAGCTGTCTCCTGGAACAGGTCTCAGAGGCAGTTGATATAAAGGGAAGAAGAGCCAAGTTTTCTAGGAGTACTTGGTAGTCTGAAGTATTTCTTTTTTATCCTGTTAAGGGTATTAGGATTAACTTTAATTGGCAGTTTAGGGAGGGAAAGATATTACAGAGATATAAAGGGAATAAATAAATGTTCATCTCTTCTAATATCCCAACCTTTAACTGTAAGCTTAATCATCAGTACTTAACGCCATGGTGAACTTACCCATGTTCATGACTTAACAGAAATTTAAGTACATTGACTACATAGTGATAATCCCCAATTTCATCTCCAGTTCAGCTCTCTCCACTGAACCCCAGACTTTTATACTTAACAATTGGACAACTCTGTCTGAATATCCAGCAGGTATCTCAAACTTAAGATATAAATCAAATCCCTGATGTTTCCTCCAATTTTGTTCCTCCCACCTCAGTAGTAGCAATCACAGTTGCAATTTAAAAACCTTAGAGTCGTCACTCTTTTCTCAAATTCAAAATTAATTTGTGGAAAAAAAATATGGTTCTACAAAATATCTGAAATTTCACCATCCTCATGGCTATGACCCCAGCGCCAAGGTACCATCATCTATAAATCTGAATTACAAGCACTAATTGGCCTCCCAGCTCCTCTACTCTACAATTTATGCTTCCAGTATCGGTCATGCTGACTATTTTGAAACAGATCATGGCATTTCTCTAATCAAAAATCTTACATTGGCTTATTAACCACTCAGTTAAAATGAAGTTCTTACAATGGTGTTCAAAGTTCTTGTTGATCTGGACTCCAAATGTGATTGTTGATGTCACTTGTTAGTAAGCTATACTATGTTTGGGCACCCAGCTTGGGCAAACGTAAGTCTAAATGTTACTGTAAATGTATTTTTTTAGAAGTGACTAATATTGAAATTTTAATAGAGGTGGTATGACCAGACTTTAAGCACATTACTCTGCATCATGTAGGTGGGCCTTAGTCAACAACTAAAGACCTTTAGAACAAACACCAAGGTTTCTCAAAGATGGAATTCTGCTTCTAGATCTCAACATAAAAATTTCTGTTTTCAACTTTCAGACACAGGACTACAACATTAGCTCTAGAGAGGCCGAACATTCCCATTATTTCTCTACAGCTCCTATATTTCTGTCCTTTCATTCAAATTGCTCCAGACACACTAGCTCTGTTTTTTATCCCAACACTCTAAGCAAGCTCCTGCTTCAGGGACTTTGTGCATAAACTTTCTGCCTGGGCTTCCTACCTCCAGATGTCTACATGGCTTACTCTTCTTCCTGCCTTCATATCTTTGCCCAAAAGTAACCCAATAAAGCATTCTCTCTTTACTCTATTAAAGCCACCGATCATAGTACACATTTTACTTACTATTGCCCCTTTCTAAAATCTACATTCCATAGGACAGGAATTTTTATCTACTCTGTTCACTCCTACATTCCCTGCAAGAACCATCTTGAATAAAGTTATTTAACACTTAATAAATATTAGTCCAAAGATGGAGATAAATGGAGTCCATGGGCATTACCTCTATGTGTAGAAGTTAAAGATATATAAGTACAAATGTAAAATTTTATGTGTGTGTGTACACACACACACACACACACACACACACACACAGAGGCTCTCCATTGTGGCATAATGGTTAAGTTTCTGTGCTATCACCTCTACAGCCTAAGTTCAATCCCCGTCCAGGGAGCTAACCCACAGACATAGGGCTCAGCAGCCCTCGTCTGTCTTGCCACTGTTCACCTTAGCAGTATATTTCAGTAAATCTGCCAGTTCAGCTCCCGACTCTGCTTCTGATGAATCCTCTTATCTCCTCACCTCTGACCTACACTCCAGTTCTTCTATGCACTAAAAAAAAATCTTTAAAAAAATATATAAATATGAATATATATATATGAAAGTTAAAGGAAGAAAGAGAATTGTAGTTATTAAGGTCTTTTAAATTAGGATAGTCCTCAGTATATTTGGAAGCACAGAAGGTAGAATAGACAGGGATAGACTGACAAAACCATAGAAACAGAGAATAAGATAACATGACCCCCTTTGAACTCATTTTGATCAATGGCATTTCCACTTTTAAATACAAACTAAGAGTTCACAGAAACACATAGATGAACAATGGGCAATCAAAACCATGAAATGATCCTCTGCTTAAACTATAATTAAACAGATGAACATGAAAAGTTATATAAACATTTTTATGTTATCAAAGTAATCAAATGCAAAACACCCAGAATCAGTACTAGTATACAAAAAAGATGATACGCCCAGATATTAAAGGGCAGGTAAAACTGGTGCTAATGGCCACCTACATGTTGGTTCCCCAATCTATTTCCCTAACACCCTTGAGTGCCTTTTCTAATTTGGGAAATTGCCTACAAGTCCTTTCCTTCTTAAAAAAAAAAAAAAATTATTTCCTCTCCTGTTTCCCTACGGCTAGGGCATGAGCAAATAACCTGGGCATGCAACTATGACATATCTGTATCATATTTTGAATTACAAGCTACTTACTCAAAGAGGGAAATGTTATATGAGCAATTTAGTCTGTGAAAAATGCCTACTAGCCATAGTTTTTTACCATATACATATAAACATGAACTACTTAAGACATACATACATATCATATATACTAACTATATAAAGCCTGTTCATTACAGGCTTTGTTTCATAGGGTATATACCCATATCACAGTTATACATGTAGATATGTATGTATGAAGATACATATATGAAACAGAACTAGAAGCAAGAAAATAAAAGTTAATGTTAAGAATTAGACTTAACCTTATGCCAATTTAAGTCAGCCAGTCACAAAATGTCAGATATTGCATAATATGAAGTACTCAGTTAGAGTAGTCAACTTCAGAATGGGAAAGTAAAATGGGGCCCTTCCTGGAGGTGCAGTGGGTTAAGGTGCAACATTGCAAGGTGGCAAGAGCCGCTTCAGTGTGAGTTCCATACCTAGCCCTGGAGGTGACCCACATGGCACAGCAGGTCTCTCCTGACCTGCCTGCTGCTCCCCTCAGCTGTGTATTTCGTCAAACTACCTGTTCTGCTCCCCATTCTGATTCTGGTGAACCCTCTCAATGCCCCTACACCTCTGGCCTGTACCCCAGTTCTGTATTGTATACATAAATATAAATCTTTAAAAAAAAAGTCAAACGGTGGTTGACAAGGGTTGGGAGGGGAGGTGAAATGGGTCTTACTGTTTAATGGGTACAGAGTTTTGGTTCTGCATTATGAATACAGTTGGATGGATATTAAGTGATAGTAGCAGTAGTAAGTGAATGTACTCAATGCCACTGAAACGTACAATGAAAAATGATTTAGAGCCTTTTTTTAAAAAAAGAACAAAGAAATATTACATTAAAAAAATAAAAAATAAAGGCCCTCCCTGGAGGCCCAGTGGGTTAAAGCACAGCTCTATGAAGGTATTGCAGCCACTCCAGTACAAGTTCAGTCCCCGGCCAGAGAGGTGGCCCATGTGGCATGGCAGACCTCTCCTGACCCATCCTCTGCTCCCCTCAGCAGTGTACTTCATTGATCTGTCTGTCCTGCCCCCCGTTCTATCTGGTGAATCCTCTCACCACCCCCACCTCTGCACCCCAATTTTGTATAAATAAATAAAACTAAGGGCCCTCTCTGATGGCGCAACGGGTTAAAGCACAGCCCTGCAAAGCTGGCTGCAGCAGCTTCAGTGAGAGCTCAATCTCCACCCGAGGTGACCCACATGGCACAGCAGACCTCTCCTGTCTTGCCCGCTGCTCCTCTCTGTGTGTATAAATAAATAAAATTAAGGCAGAAGCACTAACAAAGTAAAAAAAATTTAGGCAAAAAGAGGGAAGGCATCACTTGTCAACAATGATGTCCCAACAGATAAGTGGTAGTAAAGCTTAGAATAGTGGATAAGAATGTGAAGTACTAATAAGAAATATAAGAGCTAGATCTCAAGCACTTTATATGAAGTTCTGTTTGGGTTATTTGCATATTTGGCTAGCCTTTCGATATTGACATTAATAGCTAAAATTGTTAGTTTGCTTATGACTACCCAAAATTGTAAATTTTTGTAAATTGTGAAATGTCAACTTTATCAACAGTTCTCTAAACTGATACTTTTGATTACTGTATCTCTCCACACATTCTCAATGCAGAGAAAGGAGGGGAAGACCTATTATCCAGATTGGTGCCATCATAAAACCACCTGCAGACTAGCAAAGCGATATTATAAGGCAGGGACCAGCAAGGCAGGCTCACCATTTCCAGAGACAGAATAAATGTCAAAAGAAGCAAAATAAATAGGTTTATGAGTGGGAGTGTACTAGTTCAATGGCAAGATCTCCAAACTCCACCCAACTCTGATTCCTGTATGCATTTGCTAGAGAATATGTTTATGCTGTTGCATTTACATTTCCTACCAAGTCTACTTATGATTATAGCTGTATCTTGCCAACTTCACTTTAATAATATTCTTATTAGCTATATTGACAATCCTTTTGCAAGGTGGCCTAAAAAATTCTAATCCATAAACCATGTGACCCAAATTTAAAAATATTATCTTTATCCTTTTAACTCATCAACTAGCAAAAATCAGTCACACTTAGCTTATA